CTTCAAACTAGAAACTGGACGAAGGAAAAAGAAAAAAATTGAAATTTGGATTTTTGGCAACGTTTTTAGCAAGAACATTCAAATTTCGCTACAATTTGCAYCACATTTTGGTTTCTTAAAATTCGATTTTATGAAAAAAAACGAAAATCCTTGGTCCAAGTCCTTGTCAATAGTATCACGAAGACGCGTAGCAAATTTCATGAAAATCGGTTAAATAATTATCGAGAAATCTTGACAACTGACTTTAGAAAAAGCGTTTTGAGAAAAACGCGTTTAAAGATTTGAGTGGTGGAGTGCAACTTCCCAAGGCTCTATCTTTAAAACTACTACTCCTATCGACTTCAAAATTCAATACAATATTCCAGATGAGTTGTAGAATTGAAAAAGATAAAAAAAAATTTTGTTTGAAAGTCCCAAACTCATGTAACCCCTTAAGTCTTAATCCGTTATAATTTGAATACTGAACAAAACTATTATTATATACACATGTATATAATAAAAAATATAAAAAAATATATATAATAATACATAATAATTTTTTGTTCAAAGGTTATTCCTATATTGACGCAAATGGAATACTACAAACAGTATCATACACCGCGGATGATCAAAATGGTTTTAGAGTTAGTGCAAGTAATCTTCCGCAAGTACCTAAAAACGATCACGACGATTTAATCCAACAAGATGACACCCCGGAAGTAGCCTTAGCTAAACGAAATCACTTAGAGGAATTGCAGAAATCTCAGTTAAACGATCGACCAAACTGGAACGATCGGAATATCCTATCTTATAAGATCTTACCACCGTATGTCAGTTACGCACAGTTAAAACCAACCGAGAACAAGATAGTCGAACGAGAAATTCAGGTAAAATCCACATTCTCCTCGTCTACTCAGTGTTTCTCAAATTATTTTCTATTTTATAAAGAGATAAAAACAAAACACGATATTATATAAACAAAACGTATAATTCATTTATTTCTCTAAACAAATCAATTCAATTCTCATTGAATGGGTTGAATCAAAAATGTTCGATGCATTTTTAAATTTGACAACAAAAAATAACAATACATTATACAATTTATAATACAATAAACACACGAACACTAATAATTCATTCTAATTAAATTTATACATATATTTTTTGGTATTATCATGCAATAAGGAAGATACATAAATTTGAGAGACACTGGTGAACCGAAAAAAAGAAAAATAAAAAAAATAATCGATATATATCGATACTATGTGGAAAGAACCCTAATAATTCATTCTAATAAAATCTATACATATATTTTTTGGTATTATCATGCAATAAGGAAGAAACAAAAATTTGAGAGACACTGGTGAACCGAAAAAAATAAAAATAAAAAAAATAATCGATATATGTCGATACTATGTGGAAAGAGTAGAGAATTTAATTTATTTATTGAAATACTTATTGCGCGTGTGTCCGTATACAGAGCACGAAAAATCCATTCGTACTATCTCAAGCGGAAGCTGACAAGATTCAAGTACCCAAGCCGGATCCAACGCTTTTTCAACGAGTTAGTTCCCCCTCAAGCTCGTTGAACGTTCAGGACACCTTGGGAAAGGATGAAGATGAGAATGAGGAACAAAAGGAAGGACTACGACAATCGGATGATAATCCGAATGCTGCTTTACAGATCGGAAAATTCCTAGAATTGGCAAACGTTCATAGGAGGACAACAACAGCAACTGCAGCAGCAACTGCAGCAACAGCAGCAGTGGCGTTGCCAGCCCCATACGTGTTCCCTGTTTTACCATACAGGTTACTTCACAGTTCCCTTCATCATACTCAGGATTCCTTAGGACAATACGATTATAGTTATACTGGTGATTCAAGTGCTAAAACCGAATCAAGATCTTTGGATGGTACCACGAGGGGTGCTTACAGTTATATCGATCCAAATGGTATTTTACAACAAGTACATTACATTGCTGATCATAACGGATTTCGAGTACTTGCTACTAATCTACCGGAAGCAAAATAAATGATATAGATATTTAAACGTTATCAATTTATATCCAATAGTAAACAACAATAATATAATAATACAACAACAAAAATTACAAGAGGGGTCTAGCTAGCGTATGCATAAATTATTTTAATATCAAACTAAATTATAATATTACGTGCCCCTTTTTTTTATTATGGATTTTTAAAAAGATATAATAGTTTCTATCTGAATATTTATCTTGTTAATGAAAAAACGTTTCGTTAAAATAATTGTATATCGTATATCACGATGTAATTACAATTTTACAATCAGATTTTGAAAATATGATTAATTACAATTAGTATTTTGGAATAATTGATAAATTAGGTTTAAGAATAATTTGAATTTTTTGTAAAGTATACATTTTTTCAAACCTGTACACCTCTATCATCATCGTCATTATCATCATCATCATCATCGTTGTCATAATCATTTTTATTTTATTTTATTTTACCTTTTATTTCTTCTAATTAAATTTATACTAAAAATATTATAAAAGATTAATTATCAAAATCGGATCAGATTAACTAAAACCTTTTCTCTTTTATTGTATCGAATCTATTTTCCTCTAATGAGAAATAAACATAATGTCAATGTTTCACACATTTTCATAGAACAATATGGATAATTATTATCATTGGTTGAACGTTGAATTAACGTGGAAATGCCACAGGCGATAACGAAATGGAACACTCTCGAAAATAGTTTAACATTATCGATCTATCTGTCTCACTCTCTCTCTCTCTCTCTCTCTCTCTCTCTCTCTCTCATTCTCTCTCTTTCTCTCTCTCTCTCTTTTGTTCTTGTTTTCATTCTCGGTGTTCACGTTGGAAATACTACAGGTGTTTCTATGTGAACGATCAGATTCTAGAAAATGAATTAATTTCTTAAAAAAAAAAGAACAAACTTATTGTTAGTAAAAATTAAACGAAAAACTATATGAGCTGTTTATTTTGAAAGTTGCATAAGTCACTTTTTCAAAAAAAAACCGAGTTAATGGCAACACTAATTACAAGTGAACGGTATCTTTTCATTTTCAATTAAAAAAAAAAAAAAAGTGACTTATGCCATATTCAAAATAAACGGCTCATATTATAAAATTGTATATAAATGATATCTTTTAATCTATATATTATATATATACTTAATTAATTTTACTTTCATTATTATTTGAAGTAA